GGAAAAAGAGTCTAGTCCCCCCCCCCCCCCACCAAGCCTTTCACCCTATTCTCTACTCCATCACTGACTTGCTGCTAATCATTTCACCCCTGGGTGCTCCTCCTTCCCCTCCTATTCATACCGAGTATCCTTCAGGGCAGGAGCACTCTCTTGCTAGGTCTATGCACAGCACTTAGCGCAACAGGGCTCTGATCTCAGGTGGTGAGTTGAAGTAAGGGCCAATATAAAAAATTACCCTAAAGCCTGAAGTCAAATAAAAATACTTGCTGGACCGGCAACTAATGCAGTTCACCAAGTTTCAGGTGCTACACACACTTACCTAAGCGCTCGCAGAGTGGTAGAGCTAAAAACAGAACCCAAATCCATCTCAAGTCAAGGAACCATGTAAATAAAAAGCTTTGAAGACCCTGAATTGCTTTTGCCCCACAAAAACCTGGGGGGAAGAAGGGGACAATTTTGATCTGAGCCCATCTCTGCACAAGTTAAGTGAAACCTGTCAACTTATCTCTGAGTTTTGCCGCAGTTCCTTATGGCCACTAGTGAAGAGCTACCAGTCAGCAATTCCAAGCAGAGGCCATGAGACCCCCGAGGTGTTCACACAAAGCATGAAAGCAGGAAAACTGACCTCCCACATAAACATCCTCACGTGCCAGAGTGGCTAAGTCATTTAAGCACAGAGAGATATCAGCTGAGCTGCAGCGCGTAGACAGAGGCATGGATCCCAGAAGAAACGCGTTAGCTGGGAGATTCACACGTGTGCATCAGGAAGTCAACCAGGCTGGAGAGAAAAGGCCAGATGCAGCCCTAATGTAAGCAGATGTGGGTCCCCACATTGGCTTCACTGGGATCTGTGCCAGCGTGTAGGCCTCAAAAAGCATGACAAGTATCTGACTCCAAGTACATTAGAATCACACAGCCCAGAAATTCATTATTTACCCATGTGGCCTGGCAAAGAACAAGACAGGCAAAGGCTAATATACCCACAATGACCCAAAAGAATGAGGAAGAGGGCTGGCCCAGAGGGATATGAGAATGGTAGGGGCCAAACTTTTAAAGGAGCTCAGCTGCCACTTAGACACCGAAATCTCTGGGCTGCAGTCTCAGAGGTCCCTGTGTTAGGTGCACCTTGGGAGCAGAGCTCTTAAGGGACTGGGGCCAATGCAAACCCCATGGGCTGAGAGCTCGTTGGAAACCTAGCTGTTCTTTATGGACATACTGGGATCCGAGCTCTTTCCAAGATCTGGCTACTGATGTGGAGGGCAGAGTCCTGGGATATCTGAGCCCAGGTTCTATTGAAAAATGGATCCTAGGTCCCTGGCTGCAATCAGGCCAAAGTTAACAGTAACCTAAATTCATTGCCATATATTTTTAAAACCCCCCACAAACTAGTTGCCTGAGCAAAGATATATAATATATAACCCATTCTGCTTGAGGGCTGCACTAACAACACCATTAAAGTGTCTTGCTATTGCTTCAGTGGCATGGGTTCAAGCCCCACTGGAGCCTCATACTGAAAACTAGACCACTGTCAGCCTGGCTGATACTGGGTACCTGGTTGTTTAGGCTGAGGAGTCAAAAGACAGCCAGATATGATGCTAGACACATGACTCCCTGGTATACTATTGGCTACAGAAACTGGTGTGCCTTTAACCAAGCTAGCCATTGGGCAGGTAGGCCTGTAGGAGCCTTTGACATGGCTATGTCTAACTTCTTTCAGGACATAAGCCAATCTTTCGCTAGGAAAAGAGGGTAAGAAAAAAAAGTTCTCTCTGGGGTGGAGGTTATCCCCACAACCACCTATGAAAAAAAGCTAGAATAAGCTACTGAAGTCAGGATTATGAGCTATCTACTACAGGAGTCCCATCCCAAATAGCACATCCTATGGTCCTAGGATGGTTGTCAGATGTTTCATGTGAAGTAAAAAATGAGCAGTCTCAGTCTAATCCAATTAAACCATTAAAAAATATATCTGATGACATATTGGATTCTCTGTTACTTGACATCTTTATATCTGGATTGGATGCTCCTAAAAGATGGGATCTAACAACTAGAAGCGAAGGCAGTGATTCTCAACCAGGGTACCGCAGCACCCTGGGGTGCCTTGAGATCCTTTCAGGGGTGCTGTACGGTGCCATGCAACATGAGCACTGTTAGATGCACAAACATGATTCACAAGATAAACCCAACAGTTTCAAATAAGAATCCATCATAGTATTAAAAAGTTTTGACCTGCTGTGGTCTTTTCAAGTTCTTTGCTCAAGAAAAATTGCTCTGTTATTGTTCCATAGTCCAAAAGTGAGTGAAAACTAAGAGCTGGTGTTTTCCAAGGGGTGTCTTGAACCTAATGAGGTTGAGAACTACCGAGTTAAGGGCTTGATGCCTGAACCACTTAACTAAATTCTATGGACCCATGCTGTAGAGCAGATCAGGCTATAACACGCTGAATTGTCTCTTCTGGCCTTAAAAACCATGGATCTCCATAGGAGAAGTTTCCATTGACACCAAACAGCACTGCTGATCTTTAAGCAGAGATCAGATGGGTGCAATGATTGAATTGTGCACAGAATGATGAACATCGTTGGAGGGAAACACGTGACCAAAGACCTTTCTTCAAGCACATATACAAAATCATCACATCCAGAAAGTTAAATACAGTCAAAATTTGCCAGTCCTTAAAAACAGCAGCTGAAAACTGAAGTCGATCATTTCCTATTGGATATATTTGTGAATATATTTATTTTATAATCTTGTGAAAAAAAATTCCAGGATGTAAGTAAGAAGCCAGGAAAGAAAGAAAACAAATTTGAAACGGGAATATTTTATGTGCAGTATTAAATCTCCGGCACACAATGAATCATGCAGTTCTTGGTCTAACAAGGAGGACTCCAGAAAGTCTGTAGTAAAAAGGGGTCACTGGAGACTCTAAGAAATATGAGAAACTTGGTCCAAAACGCACAAAAGAAGCTCTCCTCCTCCCCCCCAAAAAACCCTCTTCCTATGGTAAGAAAATTCTCTCAAAATATAATCCTAATAACAGTTTTATTTGCATAGCACCTTTCATAACAAGAAACCACCTCACTGTGCGCAGTATGACAACCTACAGCATGGCTAAAAATAGATTATAATAAAATAGAACAAAAAGATTCAAATATACATGTGGGAGTAAAAATTGTATAGGTATGCAGACATTCATGCACATGTATGCAGGCGTGTGTACACACACAACACAATTTAACCATGGATTCATAAACACTGTAATGTGTAGTTGGCTATATGCTTATAAAATAGTTATATAATGTCTTATCTGGCAAATGTATTGTATATGTTCTCTAGCCAGACCTGGTGCATACCAAAATGGGTGCATCCTACCCCAAAGGCAGTGAAAGTTTTGCTATCATCTTTATGGGATCAGGATTCCACTGTGTATTGTGCAAGCACTTCTGTGACCCCCCCCCCTT